TATCATTGCCAAAGATATAGAAGAACAGACAGAGTAACTATGATATTTTTTAAGATGAAACTTCAGAAGAGTCTGAAAATCTAATCGTGGGATACTCACATGGTTGCAAATATGAAAAGGATCTTCCGAGGACTAATCGCCATTAACCGGTTAAGCCTCTTGTTCCATCCATCAACTGGGTCCGCGAGATTAGGGCCGCCAGGGGTTGTTAGGGAGGGACCGAGTGCCTTATTGGTGACTAGTTGCTGCTTCAAAGGATCCAGCTGAGAGCTCCCTGCCACAAAATATGCAGGAAACATAATTCATGTGCTAAGCGCCAAATACGTCTTTTCTGTCATGCCATGTCTCTGAGAATTAACAGAAAAGGGCTAGATAGGATATTTGGGAATGTTTAAGTTAGCTTCTCAGCCAGAACAAAATTAATGCCTATCAAGTCTCAAGTAGGAAGTGAAACCCTTTCTGTAGTCATCAAACTAAAGTGTATTGGCTTCGTTCATGTTCCTTGGCTTCTAGCTTCTCAGTTGTTATATTCTAATCTGCCACTTCACCCACACGCACAAGCTGATACCCATGGATCCATGTACAGAGTATGAAGCATAATTAGCAATCACATCTGCGTACCTTTTATCAGGAGTTTCTTCGCTGGTTCATCAATGCCTTCTTCTTCGTTACCAGTCCATCGTTCTGCTCGGTAAGACCATTTTCGAGACAGCGCTCTCTACAAGCAAGTCAAGAAACAGCAAATAATGTCATATTCATCAAATTAAAAGACAGAAAATGATAGATTTTGGAATTGACATAAGGACATGCTGCTCACTGTCATTTTTGGGCTCCCAGAGCTCCTATCTGATGGCTGTGCAAGACTCTCCATGTCCAACACAACAAAAGAAGTCTTATCCAAAGTTGCAGCATCAGTCTGTGGACATAGCATCTCTTCATTGGTCAAACAATAAAACTTTATGAAGACATGCAAATTACTAGTAAATTCACTCTTCGATGATGTTGGCCAACCAAATTATCTTCGGAATCCCAAATGCAGCAGTGGGAGAAAGAGAACAAAATATCCAAGGAGTTTTCACATGCTTTCTATGATCATTTAGAGTTCAGTGAGTGAAGCAAAACCAGAAAAACAAGCCCGTGAGTCCACATCTCTTATCAGGGATGCATTATAGACCACAAGCTCCATGTTTCCTTAAACCACACAAACTTCACAAGTAAAAGTAGCAAAATCTTGGAACAGTTTATTGAAGTGATTTTATCATAGAATACCAAAACTGATATGAATAATTTTATGATGCTAGTCTACAAAAGCTTTTTATTATAAACTGAAGTGCTAGTAGATTGGAATGCCATTAGAAATGCAAAATACAGAACGATCAAAAGAAGCAGAAAAGGAGAAGAGAGAAGAAAGCAGTAAACTGGCACGCTCTAGAAATGATGTTACCGCTGTTCCCATTAACACTATCTAGAGCTTTCAGCGTTCTCCTCTTGTTCAGGGAGCCTGGAGCCTGGAGCCTGTTTCATCCCCACTCTTCTAACTCGATAAACACTTAACGAGGCGTTTAGTAAGAAATTCTTGTATTTTTTATTGCTTAAACAGAAGTTTTTTCCGCTCTAAAATACAGGGGCAAGCTTTTTGAGACGCAAGTATACATGAGTAATTTTTTTTTAAAAAAAGAAGAATAATCTTGATTTTTTATTAGCTGCAAAACTATCAATGATACACGCTCACCTTAATATCTATTATAATAATCTCAATTTAATCATTCACCTCCTCAACCTTGTATCTACAAATATAAATGACATCCTTTTTATTAGAAGTCACTCGTAATTTGTTTTATATCAGAAATATGCATATAATTATGGACATTTATCTTATCAATTCTACACAGTTCATAACGTGATAAATATATATAGCTAATTATGGACATTTATCTTATCAGTTATCAAGGAGGGATTTTGGTTGAGATTCTGTACGCACAGTCTCGAATCTTGCAGTGTGGAAAACAACATGCCTAAAGTAAATTCGGATTAGGATTAACTTGTTATTAATTAATCCATAAGAAAACACAGTAAGGAAACCAGCCCAGATCTCTCCAAGACCTGGGATTATAATAGTAAGAGGTTAATTGGTGGATGGGTTGAAACCACAACAAACTGAGAATAATATAGAAAATGTCCCTTTTGATACGGCCTCGTGCTTGAGAAAGGGAAAGCAACCTTGAAGCAATGGAACTCAAACAGTAATGCCGAGCATGTTGTCACCCCAGAAAATCAGGGTCAAATACTGAAGAGAAGAAGGTAATTAGAATAAAAAATGGCATTAGAGGCCTAATCCAGCTGAGCCTAATAGAATAAGCTTGCAGGCAACACTCCAATTAGCTTCCACCTACCCTTTCTAGGGCCACTCGCCATGCAATGTGAGAAAACCGAGGCACCAGAGATTCAATTCAATTTGAGAAAATGATATAAGTTGAAAATCTATTTCGAAAATAGCAGAGTTCGAAGATAATCATGTGTCTGAATAGATTTTGTACACGACTGTTATTCTTAATTACAACTGTTTAGTCAAATATCTTTCACAAATTAATTAATCTTAATTAATTAAAATATAAAAGTGGATTTATTGGTTCAAAAGCACGAAATGAAGATAACAGTGGCGACTAGTGGTGAGGCAGAAGTCGAAAGTAGTCCTTGATGGGCTGGGCTAGAGATGGGTCACCCAGACAACTACGACTCCTGAACGTGATGGCGTGGCCTAAAGCTGTCCAATATTATTATTTTTTTCAAGTAGTTCCTTGTTTTGGTACCCCACGGGATATCTGCTGTAGCTCTCCATGCAGAAAAGATTCACCTGCCGCTGCTGGCATGTCTCTCTCTTTCGTCGTCGACGCACGAACGAGATCCGAAATTGAATATAATAGTATTTATTTTACAAAAATAAATTCCCCAAACTAGACTCACACTCGGAAATGCCAACACACCCGAAGCTCGAACATCTCTTGCTGAAATCGCGAACCCATCTTTGGTAAACTTTTCGTGAGTTCATGGCCGGATTTTGTTTGTTGTGCTTTATGGGGTACTCTATTTTTTTTCTTTTTTGGAGAGATTCTACTGTTAAGTGGAAAAGGAAGCAGGACTAGAGGAACTGGTTAATCAAGCTTTTCCAACAACTACCCTAGATGGTGTGTACAGCCCCTCTAACCCTGGCCAAGGCTATGTCATCTGGCTCATCGGTTTTTTTTAAAAAAAGAGAGGATAAAATGCAAGGAATTAACAGCACGATAGCACCGATTATGAGTTAATTTAAGATACATGAAAAATAAAAGCCAGTGCAAACCAAAAAAACAGAGAAAGAGATGAAAACTTGAATGGAGAGGGACGCATGGAAGATTAGAAGCAGAGCCAATTAGGCAGCATTAATCGTCAACATCATAATCTTTGCCCATGGCAAGAATTAGCATCGAGATTGGTGGGAGTGAATTGCAGTAGAATTCAGTTAGCTAGAATTGCATGTAAGTTTAAGAAACGAAGAATAAAGAGAGGTTGCATCAGTACCTGCACGGACACCTCCTCCATTGCAGATTAAGATGGAAGCAGAGCCCAGAGAAGCCAAGAGATTAAAGAGCCCCCGCCACTGTTAAGTACTGATCAAGCAAACGGATAGGGAGAATATGTATGTATCGGAAGCAGCAAACTCTTGTCTCTCTCTACTCTTTCAGGAAGGAGGGGAGTAGGAGCTGTTGAAAAAGAACATCAATCTTTTTTTCCTGCATCTTCCATGATAAGCTACAGATTACTGTATGATATATTGATTTTTTTAAAAAAAAAGGTGATGTTTTTATGATGTTGAAGCTTGGCTGTTTCTTATTAGTTTACTACTAATCTCCCTCCCTCCCTCACTTCTCTCTAGTTTTTTTCTCTAAAGCTTTTGTTTGACCCGTGACATTTTTTCTGTCGCGGAGTTGCCTTTTTTTTTTTTTTAAAGGCAAGTGTTTATAAAGTTCCATGTCTTTTTATCACTGTTATTAAACCAATCACGGTATACAATTCAACGAAAGATACACTTTTCTTGGGGCAGCTTTTAAAATAAATTAGTAGCATATTATTTTTTTAACTATTTTTTATTTATAATTATATTAAAATAGTATTTAAAAAATTAATACTAGCACATCAAATTAATTCAAATATATATATATATATAAATAATTTAAAACAAAAAAAACAAAAACTTTTTAAAATTAGGATTGAAACACAATATCAAATAAGATCTAAATCTAGTTCTCCAAATAAATAACATTTGCTTAAAATAAATTAAAATAGCAAAGATTTAAGAATATTATTTTGTTGGATGTTATATATATATATTAAAGATAAGAAGAGAAATTTCCTGACAGTCAGCATCTGATATTAACAGGCGATTTATCTTCAAAGAAGCAAAGGAAAAGGCCATAGAGCTAAGAAAAAAAAATTTAATACAGAACTCGTTACATGTTTCTGTGATGCATTTTAACCTAAGACTTAATGGTTGGCTGTTCGAAATCTGAATCCATTTAGTTCTTCTGGAGGGACATGGATTCTAACTCCCATGAAAATCCCATTTGCTTTTATAAAAAAAAATTAATTTTTTATATATTTATATCATTTTAATATACTATATCAAATATAATTTTTTTTAAATAATGAAAATTATAATTTTAATATATTTTTAAACAAAAATTACTTTAAAAAAGCTTATTAAAAACAAAAACTCCCATGAAGGCTTGCCAATTTGACCGTGCAGGTAGGGGTAGTATGGTTATTTCACAAAAGGATCGCTAGGGTGATTACACGATCCACCAGAAAGCCCGGCAGCCCACCATGAATCCCACAACGTGAGCCTTTCCATTTTGATGACCAGCCCACCATGAATTGCCAAATGTATTCTTTTTCTCCATGTATTCCTCCATAAATCCTTTGAATGTATAGAAGGAAGCAATGCAATGAAGAACAACAAAAGATGGAGTGAATTGTGATTCCATTCAAGAAAGAATTAGGTGGTAACCAAACAGTATCTATCGTCAAAGTGAAGTAATCGCTCTTCAAAATACAACCTTTCATGACCATGGGAATAGAAAACATTGGTAATAAAATCTGCCCAGCTGAACAGGACAGTTACTATCCTATCACCATCCTCAACAACCCCTTCAACAAATGTCAAAGAGCACATTATGTAACTTAAGAACTTCTATGGCCGCAAGCTAACTAAACCAAATATTGAAGACGGGAAACTTTACAAGATTGTACTCTACAAATGCCTAGTTGAAGATTCAAGAATACATGTTTTTCCAAAATGAAGCCGCCATGTTTACTAACCGCTCAAATGCTCAAATGTTCTTCTCTAGGCAAGCTCTGAACGGTGTCTGACCATCTTCCAGGTGAATGGTCACTGCTATTAGATGAAACTCGAGCCTCTGCCCTTGCATCTCTGATCATCCTCAAGACATCCCTCATTGACGGCCGGTTATCTGGTGTGAGTGAGACACAGGCCATTGCAATGTTTACAAGAGCCTGGAGTTTCTCCTCTGCTGCCTCATTACCCGAGGCAGGGTCATCTCCGGACTCAGTCTCTTCCTCACGTACTGATCGAACCCACCTAGGAATATCTGGACCATGCTCTTGAACAAGGTCCTGGAAGGGAGTCTTGCCAGTAAGAAGTTCCAATAGGAGTACGCCAAAGCTGTATACATCAGCTGGTTGGGTGGATGGTTTTCGTACGTCTCGGATCTCGGGGGCTCGGTAGAACAGAGAAGTGGCACTGGGTTCCTCCAGTGAGTCTGGATTTTGGAACATGGTCAGACCATAGTCAGTAAGGCAGGACTCAAATTCAGGGCCTAAGAGGACATTGGAGGATTTCAAATTCCCATGGGTTAACCCAGGGTTCTGGTGGATATAGAGCAGTCCAGTTGCCAAGTCCTCAGCTATTTTGAGACACGAAGTCCAGTGAAGTGGCTTCCCACCACCTGAAGTTCTAGTTCCTGTAAAAGAATTCAGAAAATGTTAATGCAGGATACTAAAAGAATTCTCCTAATACAACAGGAAATGCAGATGATAACTTTGCATTAGAGTTTCTATGAGCTGAGACCACTATTTATGGATTGACATTACAAGGAAAGAAACTCGTGATTTTTAATTTTTTATGCAGAAAGTTTATTGCAGGGAAACATAAGAGGCATTTTATTGATGAATGTTCCAGGTTGATTCGGAATGACAGTTGCTTCCAGTCCAATAAAATACTACTTAAACCTTTTAACATTTGGTTGCGACTAATTTGTTAGCATTATAAATATTTTCAGTTCTCAAATCCAGTCAATACTCATAATGTCAACCTTCCAAGACCAAATGTGCATCCAAGCAGCAATTTCAAAAGCATACTAGTTTGTGAGTCAACAATTACTGGGGTTAGCAAGAAAGGAAAGGAAGCAAACACGTCACGGGATGAGATAAGAACAATACAAATTCAAGCGAAACTATTTGAGTCTCGAATCATTAAAATCAGTTTAAACACAAGATAAAGAGGTCATGGTTGCCGATTTACTGCTCTGCTCACCAAGATGATGTTCAAGTCAATAATCCTCTCAACCAGAGAACTCGTACCCGCTCATTGCTGATAGGCTCTTGAGCAAAATACAAGACAGTTTCAAAGCACTGGATTAAAGGGATAACTCTCAAGGGTTCGACATAATGCAACTCATGAAACAAAAATAACAAACTTGATGGCAAGGAAAATTGACCACTACATGCATCTGAATTGCAAAGTTAAACTGTTTCATCAACTATTCTGTGGAGAATGTAAGGCCTTGCGGAGAACAACTAGCCTTTCCCCCAATTTCTCACGTCTGCAAACAGCAGAACAAGAGGTGACAAAGTTTTTAGTGAAAAATTATTCTTAATAGAGAAGCAATTTTACATTTTCCTGTGAACTTCAGAAGCCAAGTTTCCTTTCCTTGGTAAACCTTCTCTTTCTTTCTAATTGGTCATAAATCTGTTCAATGACTGCATTACTTAAACATTACAATGTGCGGTTCTTCATTCATATTAACTTCAGGATTTAGGAACATAATTTAAAGACTTTTTGACCAAAAATAAATAAATTCAAATATGTTTTTCTTTATAATTCTCTGACGAAAGAACTGTCGGGAAATGGCATTATCACAATCTATAAAAACAAGTATTAGCTAACAATGTAACATGAACAGTGGGTATATTTAGCTTAGCGGTACTCTCTTGAAGGAGAGGGAGTACGTGTGCGTGTGTGTATGTTGGTGGCTTCCACATTCCACAACCAATTTAACTGCAGAAAAATATAAAACTGGACACCATAACCATGCAAGAACACAACAAAACAAAAGGCAAGCTGGAGTCAACAGACACATTCGGCACATGCAGGTATCAGAGTATGTTGTATATTTTAAAGCGTAAACTTTTTCGAGATTGAGTTTCTTATTGTTGAAAAAAAAAAAAAAAACTGTCCTCATTTACCTAAATCTCTAGAAAAATGATAAAAAGATACTACTCCATTATCATTGTTAGCTGCTATTGTTTTTGATTTATCAACTACAGCATTAATATTTTCAAAGACCAGACCCCATCAGGCCATCCCCGTTAGATTTTCTCACCTTCGTTCTTATAATAGAGCTGTTTTCTAAAAAAATATAATAAAATGTTATTTTTTTATTTTTAAAATTTATTTTTACCATCAATATATTAAAATTATTTAAAATAATATAAACATGTTCATTTTTAAGTTAGTAATGACTAATCAGATGAATAGCAATACTGGAAAAGTATATTAGCCTTGTCTTTTTTCTCTATAATTTCTTTTGTTGTGTTGTCTCCCTCTTTCTTCGTCGGTTTTCAATGAATGGCAGCTCGCCCCACCAGCTCATTTTCCTGGCAACTTTCCAGGGAGACAGAGAGTACACAAACGAGGGCCATAGCTGCAGGGGAGGAGATCTGACGGTTGAGATGTTTAGATGAGCCACGTGTGCCAGTCTACATTTTTATTCTTGTTTAATTTCCTTGACCTCCTACAGAGTATCTGACTCCATTAAATACAGTAGAATAGAGCTCCTCCTTGGTGGCACTGTGTCTTTACTCGACCTTAGAAATTATAAACACAATCTATCTATGACCAAAAAAATCGAGGGCCAAGCCAAGAATGGAAAATGTGGCAGGTGAGAAAAGCACAGCACATGACATGATTTGAATCGAGGGAGGGGAACATGCTACCCCATTTTGCTGTTGGCATTCATCTCACCCTCTTCTTATGTATGTGAATATAATTGATGAGCAATGCATGGAAGGCTAAGAATGGATGCCTAAATTTAATTTTCTTTTACGTCTAAAAAGTGTTTTTGAATAATAATAAAAATACATTGTTGTAATATTTTTTAAATAAAAAATACCTGAAAAACAATCATTACTTGTCACATTCAAACCTCAAATCAAAAAACCATTTATTCCAGCCACAACTTGTTTAACATTCAACAGATGGGACCGTTAAATATAGCTATTATCAGGCAACTAGAAGCAAAACACAGAGGAAGAACCAAAGGAAAGAGGAGTGAAATAATTGATCAAATCAGAGAAATAACCATTACTGATTTAAACTAATTAATTGGAAAATAAACGAAGAGTGATTTAAGCGACATACCGTGGAGGAGAGAAAAGAGACTGCCGTTGGGGAAATAATCATATACAATTAGCCTTTCCTCCTTGGCCTGGAAATAAGCTCTAAGTGGGACTAAGCTGGGATGCCTGAGCCTACCAAGTAAGTCCATGTGTCTCCTAAACTCCTCGAGCCTAGGATATCTTGCATCTTTTAACCTTTTGACGGTCACGATGAACCCAGACTCCATCACAGCTTTGTAGGTACTCCCTATAGTACCCCTCCCCAAAGTCTCCGCTGACGCCTTCAATAAATCCTCCAAGCTGTAGCTCATCTGCTGATCCCCTGCACCCAAGAACACCAAACTCCCTAAACCCTCACTCTCCCACGAAAACCCCCCTTGTCTTCCACCATTATTACCATCCATACCACCTACACCTCCTGATGCTTCTCCTCCCCTCTCAACCCCGACAACCCCTTTGTTTCTCTCTTCTACCATTGATGGCCCTTCTTTCTTGTTGCCATTCTTGAAACAAAAACAGCATACCAAAAGCAGACAAGTTATAAGAAACACAAACCCACCAGCAGTTGCTGCTACAATCTTGATTGTCTTGCTACGTTTGGACGTTGGTTTTGAAGATGGATAGGTTGGACTTAAAGATGGTCCGAAATTTAGATCGTTGCAAGGGTTCTGAATCTGTACACCACAAAGATTGAGATTACCAATGAAAGAGGGTGTATTGAACCTAATCAATGGTGGGGTCACGGGAATTTGACCAGAGAGTTTATTGTTAGACACATTGAAGAATCTTAGACTGGTTTGGTTCAAAGGAGGAATTGCTCCAGTGAAGTTATTATCTTCTAAGTAAAGAGCATACAAACGACTGAGGTTGAGGATTGACACTGGGATTGGACCAGAGATTTGGTTTCGAGCTAACACTATGACTTTTAAACGGTGTAGGCCTGTAATGGAATCTGGGAATTCACCGGAGAAGTTGTTGCTGTCAAGGAAGAGAGATTTGAGATTGACAAGGCCAGAAAGATTTGGGATTTGGCCTGAAAGTGAGTTCCCTTTGAAACTCAAGACTCGAAGTTGGTCTAGTTGATTCAAGATTTTGGCTTCCAGAGGACCACTCAGGTTTTGGTACTCTACAACAAGCTTTGTGACCCTTCCATTCTTGCATTCTTTGACACCTTGCCATTTGCACACATTGGTTCCATGTTGCCATGGGAGGGATTTTAAAGGATCAATGGCTGATTTGAGGGTTAACAGGGCCTCAGCATCGCCTGATCTAACTGGACAAAGAAGAGAAACAACAGTGAAGTATAACAATGAGAAGAGAAGAGGGTGCCTTGAAACTAGAGGTTCCATCTTAATCCTTGAATTGAATGTTTTTTTTTCTGAAAGTCGACTCTAAAATAGAATGGAGGGTTAATTTTTTTTGTTCTTGTTTCCAAAAACAGCTGAAGGATATTAAAACCTACAGAAACACCGAATCTTTGATGTGCTTGCCTTGTAGTAGTCCTAGTAGCAAAATCTTTCCAAAGACCCAGAAGGCCAAAATCACTTTCAAGTCCTGTTTTTGGCGCTTCTTAGTTGGAAATACCACAACACAAATCACTTTTAAAACAACAAATCTTCAAGATCTGCATATCACCAGAAGACTCTAGCTTGAAAAACCATCTTCACCGACGAAGATGCGCCAAGAAGTTTTCATTTTCCGTTGACTGCATTAAAACAGTTAGACAGACAGCTTTGAAACAAATTTTTGAAGCAGATACATGCAGGCAGGCAGAAATGGAAGCTCGTCTACTCACTCAGATGGGGATTTAAGCCCATATAACGCCTCATTGGTGAATTTAAGTCTGAGGTTCAATCAAAGTAAGACACAGGGACTGACCATTTGACATCGTTTCTCCAACTCTTTGCTTTGAACTGCTTGCAAAACTCACGGACACAACAGCTTAGCCTTCACGTGAGCTGAACTCAGAACTTGCAGACTAGAAAATAGTAAATCTTCCTTTCCTCTCTGATTTCTGGAACTATGAATAATATAATTCCCAAAAGGGATTATTGAACAGAGGAAAATTACAATAATGCATCTATTTTTATCTTTATTCCTTTTCTGTTCAATTTATTGGGCTGCTCAAAACCCATAACCCCGTTATTTTAAAAAAAATGTTGAAACTTTGAGGTGATGAGATCCAACGTGAACTCCCTCAGCTCCTCTTCCACCTAAACTTCAGTGAATCAGCATCGAAATGCAAAACCCAGTTCAATAAGCAACCGCCCCATTTGCTTGCTTTGCCTCAAGAATCAAACCAAGCAGTACTAGTGCAACCAGAGAAGTGTGTTACAAGTGAAAGAAATAAAGACTTTTCTTTTTCTTTTTTCTTTCTCTCTTTTTTCTTGTAGTAGGTGATGAAGATGAAGCAGCTGGGAAATCAATAAAACACGAAATTACGAATGAATGAATGAGAAGGATACAAAGCTAAGAAAGCCCAACCCTCTCCCTCAGATGGCTTATAGATCTACCTGTATATCTTGTAGCCTGTTCTTATTAATTATAACAACTCCACAAAAAAGTAAATGGTGTGGTGTGGTCTGGTGGTAATAATTCAAGAGTGAGTGTATGTACGTACGTGTGGATGTGTAAATGGGAGCGGCAGGCCAGCTGAGTAGAAGAGAAAAGGAACAACCTTATATTTCACTATGCGTACAGTTAAGAGTCTCGAGAAATTGGTGAGGGAATTGAAGGCAGGCAAAAGGATGGAGAGATGCTTTGTAGACTGATAAATTCGGAGCTAGCAAGAAATGTGGCAGCATTAAATGGGAGTCAAGTGGGTGGCATTACGTAGCCGAGTTCGCGTTATGGCTTTTGTGTCTTGGTTTGCTTGTGCAATCCCAATATGATAGTTTGCTAGTGGTAGCAACAGTTTTTCTTCTTCTTCTATTTTTTGAGCACGATTATGCTTTAAAATTATTATTTCAAACAAAAATATATTTTAAAAATCAATCATAATCACATTTCCGAACAGAACATGGGCTTAATTGCGTGGATGAATGGGAGAGCAACCTAGCATATCAAGTCTTTTTAATTGCAAGCTGTCATGTGGAATTTTATTTGACAACCAAGGTGATGGATGATTTGGGACCAAGATTACGATTTGCTAGGGTGGACAGTCCCGACGATGTTGCCTGATATCTAGGCCGAAGACGTTGATCGCGCAACCATGCTGAACGGGTCCTTTGAATTCATTCCTTCCTTCCTTCTTCGCTCTATATGCTATGCTATTGTTATGGAAACAGTAACTTCTGCTGGTCAAGAGAAAATTCATTTAATACGAGAAGCGATTTAGTATCATTTTTAAAAAACATTATTTCTTTTTCAGTTTTTTTTTTTGGGTTTTAAATATTTTAAAACTTATCTGTTTTCTAGTTTTTTATTATTATTTTTTAAAACAAATACATTTTGTTGTAATTTGATATCCGAGACCAACCTCTAAGTTTAACCATGATTTAGACTATATTGGGGTGGGGCCAGAATTAGAGCCATGTTTGAGCCACCTAAGTTTTGAGTCTAAACTCTAATAGCTTTGAACTTGGTCTCAAATGACACCTCAAGCGCCCTGGACCAGGTTCTGATCAAACATCCTGACATGAACCCAACCAAACTCAGTCTAAAACTCAAGCGCACCAAACCAAAATCCAAGGCTCCTCGAACGCCCTAAAGCCACCCTCGTCTCAATCCTAAGAACCTCTGTCTTAACTTGAACCCTAGACCCCTGTATACGGTCCCATCTTGAATTTTGAACACATCAGAACCCCTCTCGACTAGAACCTCCGAGCCCTGAACTCGATCTTGTCTTAAACTGTAAGGCCTAGTTCTAGATGAGCCCGGACCTCATCCTAGCTTGAACCCCGAACATCTCAGATCAATTCCTAAACTGAGCCACAGCTCATTCTCAAATCCTATTCTGGTCAAAACCCTAGCATTAGTCCTAGACCAAATCATGGACATCACGATCCATGTCCAGACCTGAACCCTTAATGTCAATTTCCTAGCTCTTTAACCAGCTTGGCTCTTAAAACATATGACAAAAGTATTAAAAACTAGTTTGAAAACTTGAAATCACTTTTCCTTTTCTTTTTTTTCAAAACTTATTGCTATTTTTTGACCTGTGGCTGTTTTTTGAAAGGAAAATAAACTAAGTTTTTATATTTAAAAAAAAGAGAGAATTTAAACAAAAGACGAAAACGACACCACACAACTCACGACATTTTTAGGCTGGGATTATGGTGTTCGTTATTTTTATAGAAGTGTCATGTCTGGATGCAATTAATTCTGTTATTAAGAAATATTTTAAAATTCAATCATAAATTGGTACGATGAAGGTACTTCCATAAATTGAAAATGCTCCCACTTTGATTTAAGGATACATGACTAAATTATTCTCTGCGAGTCTAAAAAATGGTGAAGAGTAACGACAGACTTGTAAAACATGACAATGTTTCTTTTTTTTTTTTTCTTTTTTTTTTGGAAAATAGCACTGATCACTTGCGTTCGCTAATCAGAGAACCATGTTGGTGCAGCCCATTAATCAAGCAATTAGTTATTAAAAAAAAACAAAGAGCTATCTAGAGAGGGATCTCAATCACATGAAGTCCACGTTTCCTCTTACCGTGTTTTGTCTCGTTCGGTGTCAAAACTGCATCATTTATCTCGTAACCCTAACCGTTGTGCCACTTACCTGGTCTAGTTGTTCCGAAGGTCTCTCGTCTGTTTTTACCCCTCGGGTATAGTTATTTCAAAGTATAGTTATTGTTCATTTTTAAGTAATTTTTATTTATAAATATATTAAAATAATTTTTTTATTTTTTAAATAATTTAAATCAAATAAAAAATATTTAAATTTTTTTAAAACATAGAAACAAATAAGATATTAATTACTAACCCAGCAATATCACGACAGCAGTGATATATACAAAGATGCTTTTCAGACGATTACTTCAATGAAAAATGCACCCTGTCATCATTTGTGAGAAACACGACTCTTTTTAGGCATAGCAGTAAACAAAGCCATCATCCTTGATTGTAAACAATTAACAATACTATAAAACAGCCCATAATCTTTAAATGCGTAAGACGAACCAAATAAACAGCTTGACTGCTATGACTGAGCCCGAGCTGCAGCTCTTTCTAGTGCCCTCAACCTGTTAGCTTCCATGCGAGCTTTCTGTTCTTCTGAGATCGAAACTTCATTGGAGCAGCTAGCTCCATTAATTTCATTTGGTAATTCCATGTCCCTCCTGTCCAAGGTCTGAGTTGGTTCCTGTAGTTAAAATGACCATCATACATTATTAAATATAGCCATATTTCATACATTCTCCTCATTCTTTTTAAGCCGAGACCATTGATAACATACCACCTTAGGAAACAACAATCCACTTCAGGACTCTTAATCAAAGTTTATATGAGTTGGCAGCCATAGTTCTTAAACTTAAACAAATGATTTTGTTGGCTCTTGGATTGAAGAAATATACATGCACCACCAAGACCGAGCAAGATAGAATGGAGAATCTGACTGGTAAAACAGACACCTAAGTTCTTAGGAGCTCGAGTGAAACAGAGACCAAGTTCAGAAATACCATAACCCTCTTTAATCCTCTTTGTTTTTGCAATAAATCCAGCCTAGCAAAAGAATCTACAAAATGGAAATCCACCCGCAAAGACACCCAAGAGAAACAGAAGCATGGATCATGATATGGATTTCCTCATGTTTTAAGGTGATTCCTTTTTCTAGTGAATTCAAAAAACCATGGTGAATTTCAGTCTTATCTTCCTTTCCTCTTTGTTCTAAATCACCACCAAGCTATGTCATTTAAAACAAGGAACAAATCAGGATCTCATGGCAAATCTTTCAATTAATGTTATCCATAGGCGATTACCAAAAATAATAGTTAGCATTAAAATTAATAAATTTAGAGAACAAAAAAAAACATTAGAATTATATATTTGATTATATCCACTAAATGAAATATCAATTGCACAAGTTCCTCTTTTCTGACAAATTCTGACAAACAAAGAGAACCACAGATGTGAGGAAATAAATAACCTTGGAAGAACTTTGAATGAAATAGCACTTACTTCAGTAGCCCTATCATAAACCTCATGAAGCATGTCTTCTGGTAAAACATCCACATCGTGGTTCTTTGAAAGTGGATCTTCCTCATTATGAGTTACCTCAGAGTTCAAGCCTTCATCAGGTGTAGATAGATCTAACAGAATTCAACAAGGACATGAGAACCGCACTAGTGTAGACAGATCTAACAGAATTCAACAAGGACATGAGAACCGCACTAAGGTATAAAAACAAAAGCATCTTATGTTGGCAGCAGTACTTAATCAGATGCTTGAGCTCAGTCAAGTGTCAAACAGGTGCGGGTTTTATGAACTATTTCTTGCCAAAATGTTGAGCAAAGAATATAAGTCAGATCTCAAGGTCAATAAGGAACTATCAAGCCAATAAACTGTTCTGTTTATAGCCTCAAAGAGAAAATTAGGCACGATGTCCTTACTTGATAGAAAAAAAAATGAAATGCATCTCTAGAGCATAACAGCAACCCTTCAACTGGCAGCATGATAGGTAACGTTAAATGACTTGATTATATGGGAAAGTATCAAGCTATCAAGCATCCAAACATAAGACAGATTTCACTCTTGAGAGGAATCCCTTCATGCACTGATATTAAACAACAGGACTGTCACTAAATTCTCTCAAAAACCCAATTCTCTCAAAAACCCATTTCAAAGGGAGCATTATCAGATAGCAGCTCTGTTTTTTTTTTTTTTTTGGCTCTAGCAATCGGCACCCAAAGGTAGTCTAGCTGGTTGAGAGGGCCATTTCTGCCAGAATGCTCTAGAACATAGTGCCGATTGCTTTTTCCTTACATGTGGAACAGGAAAATTGGTAACGTGGCATGGAGAATGTTGCAATGTTGTGAGTTATATCAAGAAATTTCTAAAGACCAATGACAGAGGGAAGTTAGGCAAGTCTAACATAACAAAATTGCAACTTTACCCATAAAAACTCTAAAAGCCAACAAGAAACTTAATTTTTTCTTTTCATTTACATTTTTTTATTGGATGAATGGTTACACAGTCACCTATGCTGTTATCCATTTCTAAGGGACCATAATAACCACAGAATAAATCATGTCCCTTCAAAGGTATACAGAGTATGTTTCGGTTCAAGGAAAAAACCCAATAAATATGCAAAATCGGTAACAGCAAGACAGCCAGCATACCATGCTCAACATTTGCACTGACATGTTCAGTTAAGGATTCACGCAACTTTGTTGGATCCCCTCCACTGGCAACTCTCTCTCTCAATTCTCGAACACACATCTGCTCAAAATAGTGCAAAAAATTAATACGAGAAGATTCATGGAAGTTGTCTGTGTGCATATATATTCGTGCTTGGTATGTTCCGTTGCCCAACACCTTCCAGAAAAGGTCCTTAAGCAAATCATCAGAAATACAGGATCTCCTAATAAGCTAATTTGGCTATAATTGTAAGATCAGATCCCGCCTCAAATTCATCTTAATTAAGGAAGAACCACACGATAAACTCAACTTTTTTGTTCATTTATTCAAGCATGTAATTTTATTTATTTATTTCAGAGGGGGTTTACTAAAAGAACACCCTCTGGTAGCTTTTATAAAGCTACAGTCCCACAAAAAACATCTAGTGCATATCAAGTCATACTTGCAACAATGTCAAATTTCTTACATTGTTTATGATATGATCTGCGTTAAGCATGGGCATTCACTTTACATTTACAATGATTAAACTTATGGTAAATGGCATTCATTTTTTCTTTGAAAAACAATGATGTGTGTGTGTTGTCACGATACCCATATTCAGTATCTACATGTTAATAAGCTTAAGTAAATCATCTGCTATGGTCTAAAATAACCATTTTGGGCTGAATCTATTTTTCCAAAAAACACTTTCTTACCTTTGCACGTTTCGTAGCGGCAACTTGCTCCACCTTATGTACAAATTGATCAAATGAATAATAAGGGAGCAAATGAGAGTGCCATTCACTGTATAAACCGATCAAGTTTCCCAGATCACTGACCTACAAAACAGAACAAAAATAATTGAACTTGAATAAAATAAAATCGAGAATGAAGTTAAATAACCATCAGACAACTAAAGGAAAAGGGTAGAAAATATGAAAATAAAATATTTAATTGATGCTTGCTTGAAAATGATCAAAATTGCTAAAATCGAAAATGGTACCTCGTGCCCGCGGCCATGATACTTGAAGTTGCGAGGAAAGTGGCGAAGAATGAAGCCAAGCCCATTATCTTCCCCGAGTAGAAGCTCGGGTGTGAGCTTTGGCCTACTTCTTGGCACTTTCTTCGGCTTCTCTGTTGCTTTTTCCGGTTTTGAGTTGCTACCGCTGTAATAATTACTGTTTTTGCTGCTGCTATTGTTATTAGAAGGGAAAGATCCGGGAGAATGGGGATTGGAGCTAGGGTTAGGGATAGGGTTTGAATCAGGGCAGTCACGGGACCAGTGGCCTGGACGTCCACACTTGTAACAACCAGTCGGTGCTGCGTTCGTCTTCTCCATTTTCGATCAGTTAGCGATCGATTTTTTTGTCTCCGCTTCCGCTTCCGTTTCTGTGCTTTGTATTTATTTTCTTTTTCCTTTTTTCATTTTGGCGGGAACACAGGGCGGGAAATGTTTTTGGTTCTAGAGGAGGGAATCAGTTTGGGACCTTTGGGTAGCGTCACGTGTAATTTTATTTAGAGAAATTTACCGCAAACATCCTGTAAATTTAAAATTATACTTATCGGATTTTAAAAAGTTATACTTTGCATTTTAAACCTTACGATTTAAAAAAAAAAAATCAATAGAAATTCCTTGATTATATATAAATTTATTATTGTTTTTTATTTAATAATTAAAAAACCCCTAAGCGTATTAAAATTACAAAACTGTCCACCCATCTTCTTATCCTAAACACCAAGACTGGCAGCCACCTTCCCTTGTATTTGACCCCTCAGCAGCCACCATCGTCAATCTCCAACAGTCACCATTTACTAATGGATTTACTCGCATTTTTCTTAAAAAGATGCAAATGAATAGTGTAACCTTCCACGTCTGGTACTATCAGTGGTGAATATCAGCATACTGGAGAAAATTACGCGCGGGTGTGAGGCAGGGGTTTTATTTGCCCATAGTCGCGGAGCTATTGGTATTTCAAGGCCCGATATTGCAAGTGAGCTCAAATTATTTTTGCAGCGCCATTGACTCCCTCCTGGTAAAGATTCAAGAGCTGAGATCACTGAAATGGTGGCTTCAATGGGTCATTCTTGTGATAAATTTGCAGACTAGTTGTCTTAGTATATGGCTTGCAAGGTTTGTGGGCCTTGTCCTGATGATTGGAGCCTTAGCCTGAGGTTGATTTTACGTGGATGAGAGCCTCTGCCCAGAAGAAGATGCCTTGCAAAGTCTGTTCCAAAAGTGGAGCCTTATCGTTTTTGTGTTTCACTTTGGAAACCTGTTAGTGAATAGATTTTAACTTGGAGTGGTCTCGGTTGCAGGAAATTTGAGTGCTTGAGTAAAAAGAAATTGAGCGGGTGGAGGAATTAGAATTGGATTTGATATTGGTGGTGGGTCTGGAACTTTTTCTATGTGTGCGTGGAATTCAAGATCAATAGCGCGGACAGTGAAGCCATGTTTAGCAACAGTCTCATAATCCACACACAAAATCCCAGCCTTTTCTTGCCACGAGATTCAAGTACCCTCGAATTCTTCATTTATGCAAAATCAAGTGCATTAAACGCACGCAACCGCACAATAATGAACCCGAGGAGCAGAAGTCCCAGAACCCATACACTAGTTTCAAAAATCCCTTTCTTTTTCTCTCAAATCTTCCCTCCCTCCACACACCTGCACATGAAAAAACCCTAAACTCAATCCCAATGGCCAACGATCCACGGCCGAGTTCCTCTTCGATCTCTACAAACAAACTCACCCCAACTCGCTCCTCCTCCGACTCACCCAACTCCTTTTCTCCTATGGAAACACCTCGCCGCCACCGACGAGTCCTTCCTCTACCCCATCAAAAACTCTCTCCTCTCTTATCCTCCACACGAAACCACAAAATTCATCACCAAAAAGATAAATGACACAATCTCCGAACTCGCCGCCGTAGTTTTCCCTGGTAGAGGCTGGCCGTAGTTGTTGTCGTTCATGTTTCAGTGTTTTACCGCTCAAAACAATCACAATATCCAAGACTCGACGCTTTTAAACTTCGCTCGACTGAGTTAGTACATCGGCGAAAGCCTAATTCCACGCATCAATAAGTGAGAATTGATATGTCATTTATCTGCCATATTGGTTATGATATATACCGGTTTCGTAGTTTATTTTTTCATATTTAAAATTTTGTTTAAATTTAAGATGTTGATGTTGTATTTTAAAATTTATTTTTGATATTAATATATTAAAAAATAAAAAAATATTAAATTATTAATTTAAAATAAAAAAATAAAGTTTAATAAAAAGCAGTTTTAACTTTAATGTCAAATACCTTCTAAAAGCTATTTGAATTGTGTTTCGAATGTTTCTAAAAGTTTTTATTTTTTATTTAAAATTAATTATTTTAATATTTTTGTATAATACTCATTCATTTTTAAAAATATATATTATTTTAATATATTTAAAAAAAAATTAAAAAAATTAAAAAAATATATAAATTAAATTTTAAAACCTGAGAACTTAATTTTTTGATTAAAATAATTCTTTAATATAGTAGCATAGGATTGTTTAAATTTTAGATTTGAAAGATTTTTATTAAAGGTGTTCTGAATATTTCAAACTTAAAAATTTTTTATTTAAAAAAATATTAGAAAATCATATAAATTATATTTTATAACTTTATTTAAAAACTTTAATTGTAAATTATATTTTATAATTTTATTTAAAAACTTTAATTATTTAGTTGAATTATTTATTTAACAAAGTTGTCTTATTCTCAAATATATAATAAGAGATGTTTGATATTATAGTTTAAGTTTTTTTGTAAGTACTTTTTTTAATATATATATATATATATATATATTAAAATTTATTAGAAAATACTTTTAAAATCTTTTAAAAATACATGAAACCTGTGGGTTTTAAAAAATCTGAGTTTGACTACATTATACGATGTCAGGGTAATTTTATTTTGCTATTGGTGACGAGTACGTGCAAAACACATGGCGTCTAGGCCCGGCATGGAGCATAACCTGGCCAGGAATTCTCCGCGCGAGAGACAACACTACCTGTGGGCTGTGGGCACTGGCGAGGCTACTGTTCCAGGCCTCTAGAATAGGTTTATGGGCTTCTCCCCTGTTTTGGGTTGGGCCCATTGAGAGATATGTTTAGGCTGGACTGTAGAAGGTCGGATTGGTTAGGTCACTAACAGCGATGCAGTTCGATGACCAGAGAGCGGTCATAAACGAGGCTTATTCCTTACGCGAGACCTGAAAAATAAAATTCTTCGCTGTAGGCATAGAATCTTTAAATACTTGAGTTCGTAAATATTTATGAGAGCAAAAATAGTGTAGTGGTGTAGAAAATATGTTCATGACTAGAAGAGGGCATTTCTCTCCATCCTAGACCGTGTGGCATTAGAATATAGAAGAGAGATCTGTTGTTTCCGCTTGGTGAGATCCCATCTCCTTTCTTTCCTTTTTCTTTCCTTTCTTGGTTAGACAGTGTTTATAACTTGGCTGTCCTGAATTTCCTCGATCAAACGGAAAAGCAACTGTTATAATGTTGTATCAAGCACATAAGAGAACATTCTTTTGTTGCCGCAATGTATGTGCTATTTTGACTCGAGATCAAGGAGGTACTGATAATGAACCCTGCCATGCGAGAAGTAGCTTCTTTTGATTCCTTGGCTCCTTGCTTATTGCAAAGCAGTGAAGGGCTGAAGGCCCGAAGGGGATTGCTGTTATGATTCTTCCGAATGCAACCACCATGAAAAGGGGGAATGAACTAGAAAATATGAAAGCTAACTGCAGAAAGTTTGAGTATTCCAGCAGTATTACTTTCCTTTCAACGTCTATCAAGAATGTTTGCACTTAGAAACAAACACAAAGTGACAACAGTGGTTTATACTGTCACCATGGTTTACACTACTTGTAAATCAATAACTTTCCTATATTCTTCTGATCTCAAACCTCTGATCATGGCAAGGTAACGGGTTTTGAATTTTATGGTATTATATACAGATATTCCTGGCCAGTGCAGCTCCTCTCTACCAAAATCTCCAGACAACGGCACTCTTAAGATACGTAAGCATTGATAGACCAATCATAATCTTGGTACACAATGTTAACAGGGCCCCCGTCTCCCAAAAGATGCGTCAGTAGACCTGCTTTATTTGCGTCCAAGTAGTTGATAATCCACCTCAGAATTTCTTTCTCTTGCCCAAAATCACCACTGAACCTGCAGACCAAAAGTTTACAGATCATACATTTGATAATTTTGACCTGAGATGCAATGAATGTGTGCTTGATTACCATACATCACATGGAAACATCCAAGTCTTAGTAACTTTTAATGAAAATAGAAGGCACAGACGTAAGTAGGCGCTCCATTGCTCACCACTTGATAATCCGTGTAAGGTAAACTGTCCTCTTTTCCAAGTCCACCTCAATTCCATTACGTTGGAAGAATTCTCTTGTAGCGCATCTCAATTCAGCTTCAATTCCTTGGGGTGTGAAAAACCTCACTGTGGGGCTTGATCTTGTGCCATTGCAGAGCCCAAAATGAATTAATGGATTCACTTTAGGAAGAACGACCTGCCATTTCATCGCAGACAGTTCAAGGTCTTAGCAACTGTCTCATTTAAATAAATGCAAGTTAACTTCAAAGGTCAGCTCATTTCTCTCGCTCTTTGGAAATCAACGAGTAAGAGTGTTTGAGGCAAGCTTGATCTTTCAAACGGAAAATAACGTACTACTTTGAATGTTACTATGCATTGCTAGAAATCAGGTTCACATTCAAAGTAGTACTAAACAAAGTTTAGCAGATATAGCCAGCCTCAGCTGAAATTTTTACCTCTAAGCGTTTGTCTCCGGTGCCAAGAGGCTTCACTAATGAGTAGGGAGATCTTCTGTTGCTTCTGAGAATTCCATTCTTGATTGTATTTAGGGAGTAGGGAGATCCTCCTACAATGTATTGAAAGTCGGAATAGAAGGATCTCCTATCAATTGCCCCTTCTGGAGACCCCACTCTAATTACAGCGTGGATGACCATGGCATTGTGCAAATTCAAGAAGAAAGCCAGTTTCTCATCTTGTGACAGCTTTAGGACATCCACCCTGTGAAGTTCTTGAGCCAAATTGTCATATCTGCATTCATAGATAGACAGAAATGAACTTAAGAGAAGCTAAAGTGACTGGGAACATTAACTGCCAAAGAACGAGTGGGTATATCTGCATTGCAGCAGAACCTAACAGTATCTCGGTACACGCTAAGATTTCATTGATGCTGATCCTGTGCAGATTTTCCTTTCAAGGAAATGAACAATCAGAGTAGGAGAACTTTGTTGATAAGTTTACATATTTTTTTTTCATTATATAATATGGAACAATACCACTTAAGTTGAATATAAAAGGACATGTGTGATTATGGAAGTCTTGTAAATCAGCACATAGAAACACAAGCATATAGGTATTTCAATCCACATGTATGTATATGAATGAATCATTCCAGTCTCAGGTATAATAGTGACCTTTTTAGCCATTGAAACCAAAACCAAACATAGTGAAGAGTAAAAACAAAATGAACCAAACTGAGACTGGAGTGGTTTAACTTCAGATAAATTTCGTAATTTTCTTTTGGATTGGATGATCACCTAAAAGTATACCATTTATATTCCCGTCCCTTTGAATGATTAAGCTAAAACAGTCTCTTCCTTACCTGTCTGCCATTCAATTTGACCATTCATATCCTACCTTCCCTCTTTCCGATGTTCTTTATGGGCGACCTTTACTTGAATCCTTTTTATACACACAAGAATCTCTCCTTGTAAATTCGGCACCCTCTTGATCAAATTCACTACATCAACAATGGATTAAACCTCCATGCCACCTTGTGTGAGCTATTCCATAAATTGAACTAAGTGGTTTAACTTAATTAGATACTTATGAATGACAATTGGAGCTCTTTTTGCAGAAACTGGAAAGGTGATGGCTGCTAAATAAGATCTTGTCAGCATTAATGTGATGAATACCTTTCCAGCAGGACATGTGAGATTGGAAGTACAATAATAGATGGAATAAAAGTAAAACCAGTGAGAAACGAGAACAGCGTACCTTCGGAATTCCTCGCTTTTTCTGATGCCGGCATAATCAACAAGGCACCTGTCATCAGATGCATGTGACTCTAGTATTGCAGACATTATCTTGTTAAGCCTTTGTCCAACCACAACGGCGGGCTTAGGCTCACTGTCGTTGGTAGACCCTCTAAAATTGTAGCATTTGGGAATAAATGGTTCATGCTCAATGAAACGATAATAATGGCTCCCATCTTCAAAATCATTTTCCCTA